ATAAAGTTTTACCTACAAAATACAATTTAACAAAAATTAGGTAGAATTTAATTTAAAAGACAATAAAATATCATGATTTAGTATCACGAATAAGTATGAAAACTACACTTATCAAGTAGCAAGTCATTAATATATACATAGTCAAATTATGAGAAATTTACGAATAAGCAAACTTTTTTATTAATGAGGGTAAAACTTTGTCCATGGCTCAAACTTATGTGCCCTAGTCAACTACAATTTGCTCAAAATAACAAATATCCAGCTACTTACCCATTAATGTTATCCAGACTCTACGCGTCTATATAAAGTACTAGCAACTCCGTGCCATTGATATCATCCAGAAATATATCACCACTTGTTTTTATTTCACATTTTTCTCTCTTTGGCATATTATAAACTTCTTGTATTATGGATCAGTATGTTGTCCAAAAATCATCTCCGCCTAATGCACCGTCAGCCAACGGCAAACTACCCCCCACGGGCATACCACTGCCCCATGCTCGTGTTGGTACTCAAGGGGAGTGGTCGACTGGTCTATGCGACTGTTTTTCTGATGTATCAAATTGTAAGTTGATTTTCGAAAACATAACTCTCTTTCTACTACTTTTGTTTAGTTTATATTATATCTAGCATACTAAACATACCTTTAAATAATAATATCGTAAAGCCTACTACAAAAACAATTTCACTTTTTTTTGGCATGAAAAGTCATTTTTCAGTTATTCGTAGAGAAATGTTTCAAAGCAAAAAAAATTGTCGCTAAAAGATAAATTTCTTGTAGTGGCAATTATGTATTATAAACCTCTTTTTCTAATATATTTTCACATTTGCAGGTTGTGTAACATGTTGGTGTCCGTGCATAACATTTGGTCGGATTGCTGAGATTACAGATAGGGGATCGACTTGTAAGCGAAGACATGTTTTCCATTTCATGAGAGGATCCTATGAATGTCAATTTTTAATTTCTACGACTAAAAATCTGTACATTTCCTTTTACATTTTAAGAAAATTTCAATCATAGATATAACTGTTTATGAATTTTGCGTGACAGCTTGTGGAGCGAGTGGAGCACTTTACACTCTTGTAGCCTTGGTTACGGGATGTGCATGCATATACTCTTGCTTTTATCGTTCTAGGATGAGAAAGCAATACATGCTGTCAGAGGATCCGTGTGCGGATTGTTTAGTTCATTTTTGTTGTGAAAGTTGTGCATTGTGCCAAGAGTATCG